CATGTGCTCTCTCTCTCGTTCTGTCTCAAAAAAAAAAAAAAAAAAAGAGAAGTAAGAGGAGCTTTCTTGAGAGATCTGAAGAATGAGTAGGAATTTGCCACACCAAGGCAGGGGAAAGGAACAGGAATGATGGGAAAGTCTTCCTGGAGGACACCTTGTATGTGGAGTCTCTGGTGCGAAGAAGGTTGGCATTTTTGATGAAGTAAAATAAAGGTAGATTAAGCTACAAGTGTCAGAAAACGCAAAATAATATTGGCTTGAATAAAAGTTACACGTGTTCCATATAAAAAGAAGCAGTCCAGAGCTGATCCAGTGGCTCCATGTTCATCAAGGACCCAGGCAACTTCTGTCTTACTGCTTTGTCCCAGTCAGCATGTTGTTTCCATTTTATGGCCCAGGATGTCTGCTCTGGCCCTACCCAGCACATCTGTATTCCAGCTAACAGGAAGGAGGAAAGGACAGAAGAACATAGCTCCTTTCCTTCATAAGAAACCTCCTAGAAATTGCATGTATCACCTCTGGCTATAGCTTACTAACCAGAATTTGGTCACATGGCCATACCTAGCTACACATTAGCTAGGACTTCCAGTACAGTGTTGAAAAGGAGTGGTAAGAGGAGACATCCTTGCCTTATTCCTGATGTTAATGAGAAAGCTTCTAGTTTCTCACCATTAAGTATGATGTTAGCTATAGGGTTGTTGTTGGCTTTTTTTTTTTTTTTACATGCTCTTTATCCAGTTGAGGAAGTTCCTATCCTTAGTTTGCTCAGAGTTTTTATGAAGAATGACTGTTAGATTTTGTCAAACGCCTTTTCTGCATCTGTTGATATGAGCATGTGACTTTTTTCTTCTGATTTTTCTTCTTCAGCCAGTTGATGAGATGGATTACATCAATTGATTTTCAGATGTTATGTATCTGGGATAAATCTACTTGGTTGCAGTGTATAGTTCTTTTTTACACTGTTGGATTCAATTTCCTATTATTTTGTTGAGGATTTTTGCATCTGTGTTAATGAGAGATACCGGTCTCTAGTTTTCTTGCAATATCTTTGTCTGGTTTTGGTGTTAGGGTAATGCTGACCTCATATAATGAGTTAGGAGGTATTCCCTCTGCTCCTGTTTTCTGAGAGAGATTGTAGAGAATTGGTATAATTTCTTCCTTAAATGCCCAATATGTTTTTATGAAAATTTCACCATACAGAGATGTGAGCCCCAGAGATAGGTGTCAGCTTCAGTCCTTGGGTGACTGGGCAACCTTAAAGCACTTACTTAAGTGCCTAGAACTTATTTTCCTTTTCTTTAAAATAGGGATAATACCACTTCCGTATAATGGTGTCCAAGGTTGTACAGACCTAGCACTGCCTAGCCTGCAGTGAGCACTTAATAAATAGGAGCAGTTTGTTTTACTTTTTTACTACACCAGAGTGACATTGTATGTTGAATTGTTGAAGGCACCATTTCTTATATACCTTTGGAGGATAAGGGTGGATGATTCCTAATTTCTTTTCTTTTTTTTTTAAGATTTTATTTATTTATTTGACAGAGACACAGCAAGAGAGGGAATACAAGCGGGGGGTGGGGGGTGGGGGGAGAGGGAGAAGCTGGCTTCCAAATGAGCAGGGAGCCCAATGCGGGGCTCGATCTCAGGACCCTGGGATCATGACCTGAGCCGAAGGCAGATGCTTAACGACTGAGCCACCCAGGCGCTCCTCTTTTCTTTCTTGCTTTCTTGGCTTTAAGGATAGCTTAATCATATTTTGTAGCTTTTTTTTTTTTAAACTTGGTGGCAAAAAATTCATTAAGGAACCTCAAAAACTAACTACTACTCTGGTGTGTCTGAGGGTCGGAGATACTCTATATGGAGTGTGTTTAAACATTGACCCCAGTGGGTCTCTGTAAAGTGCAGTTATCCAATCACTTGATCAGAGTGTGCCCTGTGCGTTGCTTTCTTTTTTCTTTGACCTTAGGCTGATTCGTATAACACATAGCACTGTAGCCCATTAAGTGGGATTTGCCTTGCCCTGGACTCTGGCAGGACAGAAACCATAGGTTCTAAGGTAAGGATTGCTAGTCCTCAGTGCTGGGGGTGTCCCCTCTCTGGTTCCCTCCCACTTTGGGAAATACCTTATCCTCTGATTTGTTGCTAGTGAGTTTTTGCTCTAACCCCAGTGTGGAGATGAGCAGTGTGGTGATTTAAGAAAGATCCTGATGGGTAATGGTGGTGTTGCAAGGAGGAGGGCAAGTCAAGCAGATTGCAGATATGTTCTGGGTGGAACCACAGGCCAGGTGGAACTTTCCACATGCATACAAAAATGGAGGTGAAAAGTTTTTTTTTTTTTAATTTTTTGTGTAATCTCTACACCCAGCATGGGGCTCAAACTCATAACCCCAGGGGTGACTGGGTGGTTTAGTCAGTTAACTGTCTGCCTTTGGCTCAGGTCATGATCCCAGGATCCTCAGCAGGGTATCTGTTTCTCCTTCTCTCTCTACCCCTCCTCCCACTCATGCTCTCTCTTGTGCTTGCTCTCTCTCTCTCTTTTAATAAATAAATAAAAATCTTAAAAAAAAAAAACAACCAACCAAACTCACGACCCCAAGATCGAGTCAGATGCTCTACTGACTGAGCCAGCCAGGTGCCCCTTTTTAGGTTTTTATTTAAATTCCAGTTAGCTAACATGCACTGTAGTATTCGTTTCAGGTGTACAGTATCGTGATTCAGCCCTTCCATGCATCACCAGGGGCTCATGACAAGTACATTCCTTAATCCGCATCACCTACTTCACCCATCCCCCCACCCTGAAAAGCATTTTTATTTGCGCTTAATTTGTGATAATGGCACATTTATGGCAGGAGGGTGTGAAACCAGTTCCCCAGAGTTGAGTGTGTCCCCACAGTTGAGTAGGAGTAGGAGACTCCGGGGTATGAAATACAGCAGGCGTCCCACTGCGGTTGGGGAGGCCAGAGGGGGAACAGTAGGGGGAGCACCTGTTCATCCTGTTTGCCGTACCCGGGGACTTCAGGAATCAGATGTCCAGTACCTCCTGCCTTCTGCCACTGCGACATCTTCCTTCACCACCTCCGTTTCTCAGAAAGCAGCTGGGCACAGTTCGGCAACACAGAGAGCAGTAGTGATTATTTGAGAAGGTACATACTTCATTTCAGACCAGATAACTTTTATCAGCCTCGATAATTTCCGTGAGTTCTGAAATAGACTTGGCACACCAGGCAGGGTGTCTGCTTATAGTCTAGCAGTGGGGGTGCAGGATTGCCTGGTTCTGAACTGCATTTGCATTTTACACTAGGGCTATGGTCCTGGAGAGTACTTTTAATATGTAGAAGTCAGGAAGAACTAATTGGAGTGTGTTCAGGTCTTTCATTGGGTTCCATTTGGAACCTGTGGTTTAGAGGACGCTGTATGTTCAAGTCCCAGTCTCCCCAGGTATCAAATGGAGACAACACCAAACTTGCAGAGGCGTATCGCGGTTCCTCCTTCTTCTTGGATGTTCCTATCTATCCAGCCAGTGTGCAGTGAGGTCCAAGTGGGGTTGTACCTCATATTATTGTAGCAATCTGTTTCCCCTATTAGCTCCCTACAGCTAAATCCAAGTCCCCAGAATGGTGCCCTAATCACCAATCAGGGAGGGAACAATTTATTTTAAAGCTCAGTGATTCATTTCACAAATATTTTTTGGGCATCTCGTACATGCCAGGTGCTGTGATGGGTGCTGAGGATACAAAGATGAGTAACCCACCGCCCGGGAGGTCACACTGGACTAGCAGAGACAGATGTATATACACTGGTGGTTACAGTCTAGAAATTGCAGAGATGGGCAGAGAAATTATGTGAGGTTGGAGGAAGAGTACCTCTCTTGGCTTGGGGTGTTTGTTGTGGGGCAGAGTTAGAGTGGAAGAGGAATTTGGGTAAAGGAAACAAGCTTGAATAAAGACGTGGAGTGAAGACACATCATGGTATCTTTGGAGAAGGCAGTTGGGGTTGCTGGAGTGAGGTGGGGTGAGGCTGGAGAGAGAGGAAGGGGCTGATCAAGAAAGACCTTGTGTGCCTGGTTAGGGAGCTTGGGCTCTATTCACAGGCCAGCAGTCCTTAAGGGACAGGACACACCGGCAGAGATGGGAGGGGCAGGCGTTCGCATTGGGAGGGACCATCCCATTGAGCACCCTGGGTGAGGTGGACGGTGCTTGCATGGAAGGTGGCTTGGAGTGCTGGACACCAGAGTCTCCTTTTAGGAAGACTAGAGACAGTTGTCTAGAGACAGAGGCAATGAGGACCACAGGAGGTAGAGATGGGCGGGAATGGATGTTAGGATTTAAGTTCTGATTATTAGAGGAAGGCAGAATGAGGAAGCAGGAGCCAAGAGTGATCAGGGTTCTACTTTTTCTATTTGAGGCTCTACTCATATGCTTCTCCCTTTCTTGGGAGGATTGTTTTCTGATCTCTGGCCCCAACTTTGCTATACAACTCTGGCCCCAATTGCCCCTGCTCGTTATATCTTGTTTTGTATTGTTCTTAAGTTTGTTTTGCTCTCTCTAAGAAGGGAGGGGGGGGGCTGGTTAAAGGTAAGGGACTGTATCTTATACTTTTTTGGTGCAATTTTAGTTGTTAAATATTATTTATGCATACTATGATTGGGCTTTAGGCAATTTATTCCATTTATTTCTGGTTTTCTTCTAAGAGAGGATGAAAGAATTGAACACAGATGTCAAACGGGAGGTTTCCTCCATCCGGAGGAATACATTTGTGGACTTGTGTGTCTAAAAGGGAATTTAAATAATTAAATACATATCAAAATCATCTAAAAGGAATTTAGAGATTGGGGTTTTAGAATAGGCTAAGCTTTTTTGCCATTGAGTTCTGGAAACAACTTACCTGGAGAGGTTCCTCTGGTGGATTGGCAGTGGCTTGATCATCTAAGATAATTAATTTAACTGTAGCATAATTCATTGCTGTTTCTGAGGGGTTTGTGTTTGTGCTTCCCTCTGCAGGTCCGGAGCCCAGTACCCAGTGTGCGTTGTCGCCCGTCAATGCCTCCCATCCGGTGCAGGCCTTGATGGAGAGCTTCACCGTCTTGTCAGGGTGTGCCAGCAGAGGGACAACGGGGCTGCCGCAGGAGGTGCACGTCCTGAACCTCCGTGCTGCTGACCCGGGGCTCAGCCAGCCCCAGAAAGAGGTAGGCGCAGGTCCCAGCTTTCTACTTACTGCCCCTCTGAGCTTGTAAAGACACTTCTCTGAAAAAAGAGGCCTTTTTTTTTTTTTCCATCCTGAGTTTAACAAGGATGCTCATGTTATGTAAGTGGGGAGGGGGACACAATGTACACTCAAGAGAAGAATTTCATATAACAGATTGCTCTCTGGACCAGGCAACTCTAGGACTTCTTTCTAGAGAGATTTTTCAGCTTCGTAACTTTCCTGACTTCCCATATTGGAAAGAATGTTCTTAAGGGTTTCATCTTTGAAACATGGCTGTGAAAAAACAAAATAGGTGCCATTTTTCTGTAATTGTAAAAGATCTTTCTCATCCTCTCCTGTGACCTTTCTTCTTTCTTTGCTTTGTCTTATGAACCTGTTGCTCCTGCAGGATGAGTCGATGGAAATGGGAAACATTCGAGTAAAGAGGGCAGTACTTTGTACTTGCCTGAAAAGCCCTGGAGGTTAGCTCCTTATGCCATCTGGGCAGCTTCTCGAAGATAGCGATGGTCTAGGTGGTGGTGATGGTGATGAGCCAAGCTCATAGTGCCTTGGTATTTCACCTGTCCTCAGCACTATTTGAAGCATTCATACACTTACTCCACGAAGTCCTGTTATTATCCTCATTTTACAGGTGACAGACAGGTGCAGAAATAACTCACTTTCACAAGGTCATCACAGTAAGAGAAAAGTGGCCTTCTCTTTCCTGTGGCTCAGAAATGACCTAGATTGTGGGTAACGGTCATCATACTTCTTTTAAGATTACAGGCAGTTGTCATTCTTTCTATTTTTAAGCTTCTGTGTCTCAGAAATGTTATCAATCAGGTATTCCCTCTCCAGGGAGAGAGAAACCACAATAAATCCTGATCACAGCGAAGTGTAGGTTAACTAATGCCAAATGGAATTTATCTTTGAGTTTTCTTCTGGTCAGGGAAGTTAATTTCCAGAACTGTTTGTTTATGTGCCTTCACTACTCTGCCTTTTGGGGGGAGTAGGAGTAGGAGAGGTGAGGTGTCCAGAAGGAAAAGCAAACTGATTTTAATCTCGTGAAAGTGTGCAGAGTTGGCTCGTTTCGAAGACAAATCATCTAACCTTTTCAGTTCCATTGGAAATTATTGTTAATACTTTTGGTTGCTGGCCATGGTTGCAGCAATGCCTCTTTCAGGGCAGATTTCTTTATCCTGGTAACATGTCTTTAATTCTTAAAGTATGGGGGAGACTTTGTGGTGGGAGGGAAAGGAGGAGGAGGAAATGCAGTTCCTATGAAGCGTTGCTGACTCCAGCAATTCTTTAGCAGCAATAATTACTCATTTTATATGTGCTTTCTCAGAGGAACTAAGAAGGAAAAGAAAAGTTCGAGCTATTACAGAAGCAGCAACAACAGACATTCTGGATGTTAAATTGTGCGTTACTGTTGTTGACTGTGACAGTAGATTCAAATAAGACTATCGAAGCAAAAGAAAAATACCTCTAGGAATGACCACTGAGTTCTCCCACACTTGCATTTCGGTGTTAGATTAAAACGTTCACGCAGTCCAGAGGATACATCAAACTAGCCGGCATCTGGGCACATGGTATGTTCAGTGAGGGAGTAAAGAGATAGGGCCTAGAGGGCATAGTCTCTAAAATTTGCTTAAAAACCTAAACATTTTTTTTCTTTCTTCAGTATTCATATAGTATAGGTATGATTTGGGGTTAGTGATTTGAAGATATTTCCGAGACTGGGCACCTGAGGGCAATTGCATTCTTTCTTTCTTTGGGGACTTTCTAAGAATTAGATGGTTGTAGTTCAATCCTGTTTGAAAACAAGATGTTGGGATATGTGATCTTTGGAAATTCCATCTGGCTCTGAGCTGCCCTCGTATAGTAGACCTTGGACTATTTTATGTATAGAGAGTGAGTGTAGAGGATAACACGAGCATTTGGGCCACGAGAGAATGAAAAGAGAAGCAAAGAGAGATTGTTTATGGATGGTAAGATGGGGGTGGAGAAATATTAAATCTCTCTCACCTTCTTCATGAATGACTGTGCAGCCATGCAGTTTTTAAAATCATTTGAACTATGTGACCCAGCAATTCCACTTTCCTAACTGTATACCCAAGAGAAGTGATAACCTATGTCCACACAAAAACTTGTCCATGGATGCTCATGGTAGCGTTACTCATATTAGTTAAAAAGTGGAAACAACCTGAATGTCCATCTACTGATGAATGGGTAAATAAAATGTGGTCTGTCCACACAGTGAAATATTACTCAGCAATAAGAAGGAATGAAATACTGACGCATGCTGCTCCCTGGAGGAACCTCGAAGACATGATGCTAAGTGACAGAAGACAAGGCAGAAAACAAAAGGCCACATATTACATGAATCCATTTGTATGAAATGTCCAGAAAAGACAGATTTATAGAGATGGAAAGTGAGTTAGCGGTTGCTTAGGGCTGAAGGGCAAAAGAGAGAAGTGGGGGTTGACTGCTGATGAGTACGAGGTTTCTTTGGGAGGGACAGAAATATTCTAAAATTAAATTGTGGTGATGGTCCCCCCATTGAATATGAATATGCTAAACACCATTGATAAATGTGAATATATTAAAAACCACTGGATTGCATTTTAAATGGGTGGATTTTATGGTATGTGAATTTTATCTCAGTAAAGCTGTTTTTTTTTTAATTTTTTTTTTTTTTAAGATTTTATTTATTTATTTGACAGAGACACAGCGAGAGAGGGAACACAAGCAGGGGGAGTGGGAGAGGGAGAAG